GGAAAGAATAAGGAAAATAACTTCTAGAAAAGTGGTCTCTAGAAAGAAAGAACAGGTCTAGGGATTTTTCCAAAAGCTAGTACGCATTAATTTATTTATGTGAAAACAAACCAGTTGTCAACAAGTCGATTCTGATTCATGGAAAGCTACATGTTTCAGAGTAAAACTGCATTCTGTAAAGTGTGCAATGACTTTGAATTTTCAGAAGCATTCTATTAGGCCTTTTTTCAGAGGCACACCTTTTACCAGTCATAAGTCTTGCCTTCTAAACACCTTTATCTCCTTTCTTTATTATTCCAAAAATGGTAAATTCTTGTTCAGACAAATTTTGGAGCCAAGCAAATGTGAGTTTTAATACCAATTCTATCACCACTCACTACAGCAGTCACATGATCCTGGGCAATCTGTTCAACCCATGTGAGCCTCCTTTTCAAAATGAGCAAAATGATGCCTCCCCAAACTGCCCATTTCCAAGTGCCTTCACCTTCTCAGCCTACACTACTGTAAGCTCAAAGACAACTTTCTCCATAAAATCTGAGTTCTTCATCTCCCAAATTCCTTAATCATGCCTAACCTCAGATTTCTTTTCCTCTGTGCAATTCATTTGGCAGTAAATCAAGCACCATCTTGTGATCTCCCATCTACTGCTGACTCAATCTGTTAATTGAATTGTTTTTGTTTTTAACTTTAGGTAGGCCCTCTGAGGACACCAGCTACAATTCTTTCCTTCAACAAACATTTTCCAAGGACAAGCACTAGGAATGCAAAGATTTAAAACAACTGTCATACTCCTGAGGAACTCGAAATCTCGAGGGGGGAGACAAACATGATTGCACAATAAAAACAAAATAGTACACAAACATAAGAATAAGGCTGAGAATGTTACATAAAATTAGCTCTATGTTACTAAGGACAGGCACTGGAAGAACAGAAATGGTTAAGTGCTAATAACTATTCAGAAGCACCTTGAAAGAAAGTGTGCCCAATGTACCTCCCAAAGGTTGAAAACTTTATGGGGAAGTTAGCTCTCCAAAGAACACATGCGGATACTTGGAATCTAGTCGACTAGACCACAACTCACAATGACTAGGGTGTGAAGAGTTAGGACTCAAGAAGAGATGATGAGGAAACGTGGCAAAAAATGGAGATGGCAACCCAGTCCTTAAGCCGTACCTCACGGAGGAGATAGCTCGTTCGGCAAATTCTATTTCATTGTGACTCTCAAGCGTTCTCCTCAGTAGACTGGAGGGAATAAGCAATGGCAAGTAATGCAATGTGGTTAAGCCTAACCCCAAGCCCATTAGTAACTGAGGCTCAAAAACACTGATAAGGATTTGCTCCTAGAAGGAAACTTACCTTACTAACTTGTACCATTTAAATTTAGGGTAGAGGATGGAGGATAGTTAAGAGCTGCACCAGGGACAATGGAAGAGTGGAAGGTTCTGCAGCGTGGAGAGGGGATTAGGCTAGGAGCTAGGCTGGCTGACCCCTGATGGGAAGATACAAAGAGGAAAAGGAGGGGATGTCTGAGGCGGGCCACCATGCCGGTGTGCACTGCTATGTAAACTGGAACCCAAGGCCCAGCGTCCCATCACAGCGGCAGCACAGGCTGAGTGGGGGGCATTTCCCAAGTTGCAGAAAACTTAAATGTAAAATGCATCCACCTGAACCATGTAGGAAGATCAGAGAGGCGCTGTGCTTGCCAGCCGGCAACACCATATACAGCGGCAAGCGAACTGAACCCGACGCCATCCCCGCGCTGCCGAGAGATCGTCACAAGCCGCGCCCCTGCTGCCGTCGCGGGCTCGCGCACGCAGCACGCAGACGCCGGGTGCGCGCAAAGGCCACGCACGTGCGTCGTGCTTGACCCAAACTGGGTTCCGGAGCACCTTGTATTCCTTCTGGGATCAGAAGTGGGGTCAGTTATCCTTCTCCAAGACTCGTTTTTTTAGCTAAGAATGAACACGTGTCAGATTCGTAATGAATAGCTGTATGTGTTAGACATTTACTATTGGATTTTTAAATGCAATCATGAGATGCAGGGTTATTTAGTGTGACTGTGTTTAAAATTCTTCATAGATTAAACATTGTTTACCTTCTACAGATATGAACATCTTTTACCTTCAGATATGATACTTATGCAGGTTATTTTCAACTTAATATAGCGAGGAAGAAAAAAAAAAAAAGTTCACCAGAGCTCGCAGAGAGTAAAATGATGTTGTTGTGTACTTTTAAGTCAGACCATCTCCTAGCTGGACACTCCAGCAGGGTCAAAGACCATAAATATAAAGAAGAAGATGATCCATCTTTCTCCAGAAGAGAGGCTGGTGGATTTGAACCCCTTACTTTTGGGTTGGCAGCACAACTTACTACTAAGTGGCTAGAGCTCCTTAGAGATAACTAGGGATAATATCAGAACTTTTTGTTGTGTGATTTTTAATAGTTTACGAAGCAAATAAATTTTTTTTATCACAAACTTGTTTGGTAGTGTTATTCACTTTTTGACAATGATTTAAAAGTGCCACAGTGGAACCAATCCAGATCCTCTGATCCCAGACTGTGAAATTTTCCATGATGTCATCTCCACTTGCTCAGCCACAAACTTGCTCTGGCCACAAAAAGGCTTTAGCCCAGACCAGATCCTTGACAATGAACAATATCTAATATGAATTTGATCATCAATAACCAGAGTAATTCAACCCAAAAAGTAAGCTTAGCAACATTTCCATGTGAATATTTTCATCTGGAAGCACACAATAGTAAGTAGTAATGATCTACAAACAACTTTCAATGCCAAGGGCTGCTATGCAAGCAGGTAGATGTTTCCTTTTTTAAAATTCAACGCAGCCACTGGACACTGACCTTCTATTCCATGTAGTCTGCATTATATTTAAACTATTAGAATTTATCTTCTATTTATAGTTGCCTTGTCCACCTCGCCCCACTTGAAAACTGCTTATCATGGATCAGTCGCCATATAAACTCTTATGCCTTCAAAGTAGTGTCAAAACGGTACATAATGCACACCCATGTTTATCGCGGCTTTGTTCACGATAGCAAGGAGTTGGAAACAACCTAAGTGCCCATCAACAAGCGAATGGATAGAGAAGCTGTGGTATATTCATACAATGGAATACTATGCTGCATTGAAAAACAAGGAACTCGTGCAATATTATTCAAAATGGGTGACCCTGGAGGACATTATGCTGAGTGAAATATCTCAGTCACAAAGGGACAAATACTGCATATTGCCACTGTTGTAAAACAGGACTGACATCGGGGTTAGGGGGGAGATTGAGAAAGATGGAATAAATAATATATACTGCATTGAAACAGATGAGGGAGAAACTGTTTAAAAGGGATATGTGATTACATATTATTGTCATGATAGGAATCCAGAACGAAGACTACATAGTGGAGTGGACCTGGGAGCGGGGAGGGATTGTAAAACAATGTGGGGGGAACTTTTCTTTTATTTTTCAAAGAGAAGACTGTACTGGGGGGGAGGGGTGGTCAGGAAGAAAACTGCAACAATGAATGAATGGAAATCAAAAGTCTCTGTAAATTTTCATTAAAATAAAAAAAAAAACAAAACCCAAACCTGTCTATAGTAATAATACTACAGGCTGTTAAATAATCAGAATGTTAGCTATGTGGTTTCCATAAATATATAATTTCTCCAAGGTCAAATGGGTCTGTGGCTGAGAGTGCAGAGTGAATGCTGAGTCCCTGAAAAGAGTAGGGGAGGTAGGCTGTGCACTCCCTAAAAACTCCCAAAACACTGTTTCTAGGCCAGGGACTCCCCTATGGGCCGGTTACTGTCAAGAGCCTGGTAAGAAGAGGATGCTACCACTTCAAGGTGCCATGTCAAGTGAGGCCTTGAGTTCTACACTTATAACTCCACTTACTTACATAAATTCTTGTTTTACACCATTCCATTCTTTCCAGGCAGAGAAAAGGGGGGGGGGAGGGAATCAGAAATAAATTATTTTATTTCATTATCAAGTATCATTGATAATGAGCATGGCAAGCAGCTGACATGTAACGTGCTATGAACTCCACCATCAGAGCTCCTGATAGTCATCTAGAATTTCCATTTGTTCAGAGTCTCTGTGCTTAAGTTTCCTATTGTGGGTTGCTCTTCCAAGTGAAAGAGCACTGAGCTAGTAGGCAAGCAAGAGACACACCTGAAGGCTGGATTTTTGAGTTTGGTCTAGCAATGGAACCTACCCAGATAAAGATCACTATAAGTCAGAATGTGCCAAATTCCTCGAAACCTAATCAAAGTACTTTTCAGTGATTTAACTGCTTAGCTATTGATGCTATTCCTTCCGCTCTATTTATTTATAGAAAGAACAAAGTTTTAGATTTAGAAATACCATCTGGTAAACAAACCGTTGAATAAAAAAATGTTTTGTTCCTTTCACTTAACTGCATTACTTTGAAATGTAATTAAGTTTTAGGTCAGTTGTTTGCTTCTCTCAGGAGAACTCTTTTTGCCCTGTTAAGCTTGAGGGAAAAAAATCCACTGGAAAATTATCCATTATATATTCTTATACTCTTTATTATTTATCTTTTATTTGTATATGTATGTACATATATATATCTTTTCTCTCTATATTTATTTTATTGTTGTTGTTGCTACTCATTTGCTTTCACCCACTCTTTGATGCATCTATTTGGTGTAACTTCAATGTCCAAGCTAATAAATGAAAGTACAGAAATGAAACAAACATAATCTTATTTTGAGGGAGAAAGAGAGAAGATCAACTATCTATTGAAATCTACAGATAAAAATGGCAAGTTTAGATTTTACTTTTGCAGTTCCACTGAGTGTTTGAGAAGCTTTAGGGTGCATTTGTTGGCTTCTAACGATTGTTCAAAAAAGTTTAGCTAGTTATTATATTTAATGTGTTGAAATGAACTCAACTAAGTGAAATAGCATACCATTAGCTGTGCAGAACATAGTCATCTATGTGTTGCTTTTCTTATTTTTTTTTAGTTTCCTTCAATTGGTATCTTTTCCAAATGGTTTATTTTATCTGTTGCATTAGTCAAAGGACAGAGAAACACATATGCATATATAATAAACATTTGTACAAATTATTTCTTCTTAGTTGATTTTAAATTTCATAATCTAACAAGAGAACAGAACCTTTGGGAGGAAGACTCACCAACAGAAGGTCAAGGGCTGTAGTCTTCAATATGAATTGAAGCTCAACATCGAGAAAACAAAGATTCTTTCACCACTGGGCCTTTTAGCAACTTCATGATGGACAGAGAAGAGAATGAGCTTGTTGATAACTTCAACTTACTTGGTTTCACAATCAACATTCTTGGCACCAGCAATCAGGAAATCAAAAGATAAATTGCACTGGGTATGTCTGCTTTCAGGGACCTGTCTAGAGTGTTGAAGAGCAATAATCTTAGTCTGGAGACCAAGATGCACCTGATCCAGGCCATGATCTTTGAAATTACATGCTATGCATTCAATAGCTGGATAATAACTAAAGATGATAGGGAAAGAAAAAGTGCCTTTGAGTTGTGGTGCTGCAGAAGAATATTGAATATACTGTGGACTGCTAGGAGAACAAACAGGTCAGTCCTGATGAGGTTGTAACTGGGCTGGTTCCTGGATGTAAAGATTTTGAGGCACTGGCTCACATAATTTGGACACATGGCCAGGAGGGACCAGTCCTTGGAGAGGGACATCATGCTTGGAAGGATGGAGGGACAGTGCAAGACAGGAAGACCCAGCATGAGATGAATTGACTTAGTGACTGAGGAAATGGGATTAGGTATGTTGGAGACAATGAGATTGGTTCAGGATAGGGACGATTTCAGAATTTACATACATAGGGTCACTATGAGTTGCAGGTGATTCAATGGCACATAACAACAACTATAAAACTTTTTATTCTTCCAATGTTTAGAAAAAATAAAACTAAAAACATCTTTATTGTTAAGTGCTGTCTAGTCTAGTCTGCTATGACTCTATGAACAACAGATCTAAACTTTTCCCTGCAGTATGCCATCCTCAATCTCAGCTATGCTTAATCCCATTGTTACATTAACTGTGTAAACTCACCTCAATGACTATCTTCCTCTCTTTTACCCAATCTTATATTTTTCCCAGTGTGATATCTTTTTCCAAGGACTGACAATATGCCCAAAGTATGTGAGACAAAGTTTCACCATCCTTACCCTAAGTAAGTACTGTAGTTACACTTCTTGAAAGACAAGTCCTTAATAAATTTGCCCAATGCAACACAGCTTTTGATTTCTTGACCACTGTCATCCTGTGTATCTTTAATTTATATAAAACAATAAGTTAGCTCTTTTAGGAAGGAGATAATAAATGATTATAAACTTTATCAGTTGTCTCAAGCCTGGAATCTTTAAGCTTTTTTCACCTCAGAGCTTCTAAAGACAAATGTAGGGAGTTTTCCACTCTCCCTTCCCCACTGTTCCTAGTAGATAGTAGATACATGTGGCCCAAATTTCTTTTCAGAATTACTCACCAGAAGCATTCTAAACTGGGCTGAGGCAGTAATTATGGGGGAAGCAATGGAAACAGAATAGTTACTCAAACTGACCAACACAATAGATAATTACAATAATTACAATAGATAATAGAGCATAGATAATTAATGCTGCTGTATATCCTAAGTAGTTTAGCGATCCCTGTCACTGCAGGGTGCAGGTGATGGCCAAGGAGGGTGAAATGCAGGCTGCATGGTGGT